CTCTGTAGCTGTGAGGTGTCATGTTACAATATTGTGCTTGATGCATGTGCACTGTTAAAAATAACTTGTAAAATTTACTTGAAAAAATCCTCCTGACAATTTGCACTAATGTTGGTTATGTAAATACAAATTCATGTAATATTTACTCATCATTATCTAGTAAAAGTTATTAAGAATATAGTTAAAAATTTGTGATTAAATCAGGTAAATTTTACTTAATTTGATGAAGTATATGTTACAAGATTTAATTGAGCAAATTAAGTAGTTTCCTATTGACCAGCTGCCACAATCTGGTTCCAGCAGTCCAATTCTTGCTTGATAATTTGATCTGACAAACTGGCCGAGGACAAGCTTCCAGTTATGGTTTCTGCTCCTGACACTTTGTTTCAAACACCAGCTTTCACAAAAGAGGTCTCTGACAACAGGATGAGACCTGCACTCCTTTCTTTACACTCACTGAGTGTTTCTTTTCTGAGCTTTTCTGTTTGATGTAGACGTATTTACTTTGTTGGATGACAACAGTGTCATGCTACAGTATTGTGCTTGATGCATGTGCACTGTTATGAGTTGAAAATATTGAAAATTTTGAGTGAACTACTCCCTAATCATAAGTTGAGAAAAATCAATAACGTTGAGATATATTAAGGCAACTGCACGTGTAATTTTTATTTTATGTAAACTTGAAACATTTAAAAACATCACTCAAATATTTTGTGTAATTTGTTACATAAAAATTTGAGTTCTGTGAACTTATTAGGGTTTACAGTGTTTATAGTTTCCCATAAATTTAAAAACGCCCCAAAAATAAATGATGGTATTCTTCAGTATTGCTTCTTTACAGCTCGATTGCTGTACAGAAATGTTGAGGTGTATTAGTAAAGCCTGTCTGTTCCAGTTAAGTCTTAAAAGTGATGTAAACCTGATGGCAGTCTAAAATTCTTGTTGTTTGTTTTTCAGACACTCTGGAGATGCTATGCAGCAGAGAAACCAAACGGCTGCGCTGCTACTTGGAAAATGTATGTCCTAACTGCAGAGGGTGTGGCAGCTGCACAAGCAGACAACTGCAGTCCCAGCATCAGGAAGCTCAACATAGCGGTAAATTCTGTCTTCGTCTTATTTTATTCACTGGCCCTCTCTGCCGTCTACAGCTCACCTTGTGCAGCAATATTTCCCAGATTGTGCAAAAGGCCATAAAGAATAAAAGGGCAAGCTAAGTTCCCACAAACGTACACACACGCGCAATGGACACAATGCCCAGAAAACACAAATCCTCCCCACACAGCAGCTCCTCCCACCCCAAAGGTCCGACTCCACCGGGATGACTCGAGGTCTTTGTCTCCAGCGGACAAAGAGCCAGTCAGTTGAGATGATGTCACCACCGCCTTTCTCATGGGAGTAAACTTTTGTCTAGTAGTACAACAACAAAACAATCTTTGTGTTGCATTGAACCCACGCGTATTTGGGAGAATGACGGCTGTTTCCGCTCTTTTCTGTTTCAGCCTGTGACTTTCTTCTGTGTCCCGCTCTTTCTCTGTTGTTTAAGGGTCTTCCTCAGTTCTAACAAACTAAAACAGACTCGGTTTGACTCTCCTCTTTCTTCTCTGCCCACGTCGATGATGTCCGTCGGCTGGACTCGAGAAAAAGCTTTCCCAAATCCAACTGACTCACATGATGATCTCACCCTAGAAAACCAAGATGAAATAGGCTGTTTCTTTTCTGACTATAAAAAATGGAAAAATTTATAAAGTGTTTTGGTTCAACAGTGTTGTTGGCATTCAGTGGTTTTTCACACCAGATAGGTTCATTTGATTCTTCAGTGTATTCCTGTTAAACAATCTTTTCTTTATCAGACATGTATTGTTGTTAAATACTTTTTTTTACAAGGTTGTTTGGTTAAATTCTAATAACAAGATGATACATGTTTAAATATGGGGTAAAGATGAAGGATAAACCAGTTAAAGTAAGGCCAGGGGTTGGCGTTATTTCCTAAGTGCAGCTCTGAAGGTGTATGAGAAGTGTTGGAT